TTTTTTAATTAAATTTGTCTAGATAGCCATGAAAGAGTCTTTCATTCGAGAGATCCACGAGAAACTCACTCACTCCTCAAAACATTGACATTTGGCAATTTATAATTGGTTCTTGTTTTTTTATGATAAATTATATTATTTATAGTTTAGAATATTAATTAAATAGTTTATATGTTGTTATTTTTTATAAATCATAAAATAAATTTATCAGAATATCAAACTCGATTATACATATATATAATTATATATTAATATTACTTTTAATTGATAATATTAAATTAATATTGTTTTAGTTTATAAAATAATACGATATTAAAAAATTAGGTTATTATAATTAAAAATTTGATTTGAAAATATTTAATAATTTTAATTGATTGTACAGAAAACTAATACAAGATATAAAATTAATACTGTTTTAGTTAATATAATGTTTAATATTATAATAATTGATAAACACTGAGATTTTTAAAATTAAAACTTATATTTTAAAATGGAATATGATTGTTTAAAAATATTAATGAAAAATTATCATAAATTTTTTAAATTAAATAATATTTAAAATATTAATATTTTATTGATGAGATATTCATTGAGTATCTAACCAATAGAGGTGATATTAAATAGTGAGTCTCAACTTAAAATAAAATATAAATACTAGTATTATATTGGTGAGATACTTTAAGATGGTCTTAGTTATTAAGTAGAAGAGGTTTCACCTTTTACCGAATTTGTTTTTTCTTTTTGAATAAGCTTTGTAGTGACCTTATTGTCTCTAGTTTTTAAAATTTCTTTCTCAACTACTATAATTAAGCAATCGGAAGTACCCCTATTTGAGATCTAGTACCATAACATAATATAGTATCTTGTAATTGAAGAAAGTTATAAAAGTAATGTTTTTTTGGAAATAAACGTATCTTCAACCCCAAAGTTCCTTAACCAAGTATTTTCTTTCAAAAGCATCGGCTCTCCCACTTATTCATGTCTTCCATATAAGTTGAATTTGAAATCGTAGTAGACCTTGGACCTGAACAATGGTAAAATAGAAATTGATTTTTATTAGTTAAAGAATACATCTCCCTGAATTTAAAATTTTCTATTATTGTGAGAAGTGTTATAGCATGGGATTATTTCTAACTTCATCTAACTAAATAGAACAAACAAGTCATTCGGACTCATTGTTCTAGGGAAGAAAAGTGTTTGCGAATTCATAGTGAAATCCCCATCGAATAATTAGGAAGAAATATAAAAGGTTACCATTTCCGTTCCTCGATGGAAGACATGTGTGGTTGTAGATGGCTTTTGATTCTTGTTGTCTATTTTTGAATACACGTAGAAAATAGCAGTTTGAAAACATCGGCGCTCGAAACCTAAATATAAAATTTCATGACATATAAGTGGGCAAGTTTTTGCTTTTGTTTACTTTTAAAGCAATAATGAACTATAGTTATGGTTACCTTCTTTATCCCCTCAAATATTGTTGAATATCTCGTTGTAGACAATGTTTGTAACCCCTTCGTTTGAAGATGAATATGAAATTTGGGGCAATTACAAAAATGCCACTTTTTGTATGCACATTTGCAAAAATGCCACTTAGGAGTGTCTATTTGCAAAAATGTCACTAATTATAGATTTATAAAATCTTCTAAACCCTAAAAAATGTTTTGACCTCTAAAACCCCATAAACCKTCAGAACTAAACAATAATAGAACATAATTAACCCAAACATAAATAATATGAAGAAAAAATAATTTTGAAAAAATGGCATTTATGTAAATATTTCAAAAGTGTGGTATTTTTGTAAAGTGTGATAAATATTTTAAAATTTCTCATGAAATTTAGCATCGTTGCACTTTTCATATACTTAGTTTTGGTATATTTGTTTCGTCATGAATCACCTAGTGTATAATAGTAAGTAAAAAGCATGAGAAAGCATAGATTTTACTCTAGTTCTAGAATCTGTGTTTCTTTATCTAGTGTGTAATTTATGTCAGGTTGGTGAAGGAAGTCGCCCCTAAAGTGAAGGATCAAGGAGGTACATAATCTACCCAAGTAAATAAGGAAGTGAAGGA